CATCTATCTAGGTCAAACTGATCACTATGAGCAAATGATTATTACAACATTTTTTATATTTTATTTAAATTTATTACATTAATAAAAAAAAATAATAAATGGCTTCACTATTTACTGATTTTTATTGATTAATTCAAGGTTAAGTAAAGCCATTTCATTACATTGGCAGTATGCGTCAATCTTCCTGACGAGGACGGCTTCAACCACAGGAGCTTTCCCCATGCGCATTTGCTTTCTGTCTCCATCACTAGCAGCCATAAGCTTCGAGGTGACTACCTTTTTACATTGAGAGAAAAATACTTTCTTTTTCATGTCATGATTTCAATGTGCATGCAGCAGCAGCCTCAGGTAGCCAGACGGAAGCAGGCGGGTTACTGCGAGGCAAAGGATCATAGGAGTTAAGTATAAACAAAATAAAAATAGAATTATCTTAGTTAATTTTTTTTTTATATGTTGTCATGTAAAAAAAAGACCAAAAATTAACACTGTGAGCAGACAACTCAATTACTATAAGCAAATTACTTAAACATAATTTATATAGCAACGATTCTTTCCCAAGCTTCGTGTTCCACATAATAGCTTGATCACTGTAAGCATCATTACTACAAGTGATCCTGTAATGTTATCATTAATATCATTATTATCTTGTGGGAACAAAGACGCAAATGACTTTCTTATATTTTGGAGTTGCCCTTCAGTGAGCTGATGTACTTGATTAAACTGGAATAGAGGAAGGAGGATAACTATATGTTGAGAATACTATTGGTGGCTTGTAAGAAATACATTACTAAGAAAAGGCTAAAAAAATAGCTAGAACTGATGAATGGATTGACCTAGTGTACAATTTATTTTATGTTGAGAACCCAGAATGATACATTTGCTGAGAGCTAGACATGATTATTTACATGTCAACCCTGAGACCAGACTTTGTATAAATGTGCATGTGCATTTCAGTGTAATCTGTAGTCTCCCATTGTCTAAGTATATATGTAAGTGTTTCTTTATCTTTTAAAAATTCCTTTTTCTCTCTCTCTCTCTCTCTTTATGTGTACAAGAATGAGAAACTCTTTCTCCCTCAATATTTCACCATTCTTCCTAAAAAACATTAGAATGATTATAGTGAATGGCCACTTGACTGATAAGAGTGGATCTAGTGTTTCAGACTCACCGAAATTGTCCTCCAGTCTCCTTCCAGAAAGTTCCTGAGAGGGGTAAGAAAGCTGATGGCGGACGTCTGGAGGAACTCCCTCTCTGCTGTTCCTAATCTTCTCTCACATTCCCCGACTTCAATCAAAGTGCTCCCTGCAACAAACAGATATCTTACTATATAATGACGAAAACTGTCTGTGTTTGTTTCTGTGTGTGTGTCTGTGTCTGTTCCATGTTTTTCTCCTCACTGACTTGGTCAATCCATGTGAAATTTGGCACAGTGGTAGAGGGTCATGGGAGGATGCGAATCAAGCAAAGTTACATCAACTGGCCAAAGGGGGGCGCTATAGCTACCGACTGAAATTGCAAATTTTGAATGGGCATATCTCATGCTCCATATGCAGTAGAGACATGAAACTTTGCACAGAGATGCCTCTCCTCATGAGGAACAAATTTGCCACAAGAACCCATAACTTCCGGTTATATAGATTTTCTGCCATTTTGAATTGTTTGACCGATCTACATGAAACTCAGTGAACATAATCTAGGGACCAATATCAAAAGTTGGAAAACTTACTAAAACTGAGCTTCTATAAGGCAATGACTATCACATAAAGGTGTATAACATCTCAATGGTTTCACCGATCACCACGCAACTTTGTAGGCATATGACCACACATAATCTGAGGGGACCCCTCCATTATTGACCCAATCAAACAAAATGGGGACGCTACAGAGCTAATTTCTTATCTAGGCCTAACCGCCATATCGGTTTTTACTAAACTTGGTAGATATGTAGAACAGGACGCCTCAAGGTGACTGGAGAAATTTAACTCTGATTGGCAACTGGGTGGCGCTATAACAACAGAAAAATGCTTAAAAATGGCTAAAATGCGACCGATTGCTGTGGCTCCCCCTGTGGCCCAATGTTGTTGTTTTTTAATTTTTTTTTTCAAATTTTTGGTATGACTAAGTCATGGTATGGTATGCTGTACATAATCATGGAAACTGACAGTGTGTCATTATGTCAGTCAGTCGTTCTGTCTGTCCCATGTTTTTCTACTCACTGGCGTGGTCAATCTATGTGAAACTGCACATAGGCATTGAGGTTTGGCATAGGTAGAAGGTGACAAAGCTACCAATGGGTATGGACTAGTCATCCATTAACCACAGAGTCTACATTTCAAATTCCACTCTCTTCCCAGGTACAGTTTTGTTGTAGATACAATAGTCTACGCTTATAAAACCTGAGTTCAAACATAACAGAAATGCACTACTGTTGTTGTTTTTTGTGTAGCATAAAGACCTCAGCAGATATGCATTTGTTTCTCAAAAACAGTATGATGTAACATTTGAGTTAAAGTTTCCTTTTCTGTAGCCATACCTTATCACTTTTTTTTCAATCATACTTTTTCTAATAAGATCAAGAAGGAGTCATTTATTTGGCACTGTGTCTGGTGGAGACAAAAACGGGCTTTTGACAATTCCTGTCTTTTCTCTTTAAGTTAAATATACATCCAAAAGTGTTTAGGGAAAAAGACAGGGACTATGTAATCTACACTGTATGAGTAATAAGCCCCTTTTCACGGTAGGAACTTTCCCCAGGGACTAGAAACCTTTTAAGGAACTCATTGCATTTCAACCACAGGGACCAGTTACAGTTTACATCCATATCTGTCCACTCTGTTCAGACTCATATGTAGCCATGACAGTTGTCAGTTCTTCAAATATGGATGTTGCTGAAAAAAAAGGTTAAAAATTCTTAAATATGGATGCTTCTCACACATCTTTTGTCCGGCAACACAAAATATCTATACAATCAGCACAGTTAACAGTCAAGGTGGACACCCAAGATTAGAGTCACCAATATAGTATCTGTCTCCCCTTCTATTCCTGAGTTATACCATTGAGCAATGGCCAGAAACATTTTGTTTGCTTGTTTGTTTATTTTGGTTTGCAGTGTATTATGATGTCTAAGAGAAGCTGACCTTTGACCTTTAATGTAATGTCATCACTTCATCATTTTATTGTATTAGACATTTGTGTAAAATGTTGGCATAATTAGAGTATGAATTCTTGAGTAATGGCCAAAAACATGTTTTGTGAGGTCACAGCGACCTTGACCTTTGACCAATGAATTCTAATTAGTCCATCCTTGAGTCCAATTGGACATTTGTGCCACATTTGAGGCCATTCCCTCAAGGCCTTCTCCCCAAAATCTATTCAGTTCATCACTAAGTCCTAGTGCTGCACGGTATACTGGTACCAACGGTAGACCGCGGTACTTAAACACCACGGTACGTATGATACCATAATGTTGGAGTACCGTAGTACTACGGTACCTCATGGTACCACTACTGTGGGATAAGTTCAAAGTCCAATCGCAAGAGGGTAAGTGTCCATGCGCCGTAAACGCGCTGGCCACCTGGACCTCAATATGCTGCTGCAGTGGTTTGTTTTCCAGTATTAGCTGAGCTATTTAGTATCTTTGAACAGTGAAAGTTATTATTTATTTATTTTTTACTTGTAGGCTAAATTTGTTTGTATATGCTACAGTGATTTGTTTTCCACAGAGCTCTAAGGTGCAAGCATTTTACTCGTATTTGTGACTTAAAATAGTTTTGTGCGAGCAAAAGAAATCATTAAGGATTTCAACCAGCAGCAGAAATGAAAGGCGAATCCTGCCGGTTGTGGGTTGAATGGGGGTCACAGACAGGAATAGCAGAGCATGTAGTGTAAGATTTAATCTTAAATAAGATAAAAGTATTAAACTGCATAAGTTGATTAAGTTCATATAACCATGTTTTATGTTACAAGTTCCTATAAAGCTGTTTGTTATGCATCCATGTGTGATAAAAACAATGTGACACAAGTTCATATATTCACAGCACAAGGTTATGTATTCATATTAAAGAGAACATACACCACACCATATATTGTTTAATAATAACACACACACACTCTTTAATGTTTGACACACATGCTCTAAGCTCATATTGCATGAAAGCACAAGGGACTGTATAAAGAAAGTCCCTAAAGTTTATATGTTTTTTAAAAATAAAGTGAAAGCAGGACCAAACCTAAGGGTGGAAAATTTGGGAAATTCCAGGCCTAAAGTGAAAGTGATTACACCATTAGAAACAGGCCTGTTCAGGATTGGACAAAAGAGAAAAAGCTCGCCACCAATAGATTTGGGTCTAAGTGGGAAGGATTAATGAAAAGAGGTGGAGATTCTGTCAAACCTCCACCAGCATAAAAGAGAGCGCACTGAGAGCCAGTCTTCAGTCGCGCTCCGGAGCCTGACTCCATGAGTTTAAGTTTATAGTTTTAAGTTTATTCACTTTTGTATTGTATGTGTTGTTGCTTGTGAACACATTAAACTCAATTGCACCTGATTCTACTCGACTCCAGTGTTTCTATAAGTGTTTGCCAACTGAACCTAAGGTACCAAATCAACATCAGAGGACGATCTGCAGGAGAAGTAGAAGACGAGATCGGGAGCCATCTGGCCCACTTCCAGGCCCTGATTTTCGCTTCTACAAGCACTATGGCCACTGCAAGATAATGCGGTTTACCGGCAACCGAGAAGCCTGGCTCCAGGTCCATTAATTTCCTTTTCGTTGGTGTCATGACTGCTCAGAAGTACCTGAACAGACGAGCCGTGGCGGCACACAGGTGTGACGTGTCAGAGGAGAAACAAGCCGTTCACATTTCTCTCTTTGTGGCAGGTAACGGTCCACAAACCTCACCGTACTTTAGGGACTGTTCTTAACTTATCTGAGGAGGAGGGTGGCTTTTTTTTTTCATTTTCATTTTATTTTGACACCCCCCCTATATTAATCACTTATTGATGCTGTTTTTGAAGTATGAATAAGTCAATAAGTAATTTATTCCATTGAAATATCATTGATGATATATTGCCTCAATGTGTTTTGGAGCTATCACTTTTACAAGAATGTGACAGACACAGTCACAATGACCTTGGCGTTTGGCAACCAAAATCGAATCAGCTCATCATGGAGTCAAAGTAAATGTTTGGGCCAAATTTTAAGATATTTCCATTGGACTTTCCTGAGATAAGGCATTCACAAGAATGGGACGGAGGAAGAGACAGAGAGACAATGCACAGAGGCGTAAAAAAAGAGAGGTGCACAGAATCAACAACTTACACTTTAGGGAGGGTTGGGATATGATATGATGTCTGTCCATTTATTATGTAACCGATCAAAGCCTAAATTAAGACTAGTCATTGGTTGCTGACAACAATGAAGTTTATTTTAAATGTACCGGAAAATGACTGCAGCGATCCAATTGATTTCAGGATTCCAGACAGGTAGTCCGATCTGAATTGGACAACATCAAATCAAAATAATAATTAACCACACCAACCAAATGTGTGAATCTAGAAAATTAGTTTAATTAAACTGTTAAACCAACAACAAAGGCACTGCTTGCAGGCCTCGTGACTGTAAGTGATCTGGTGGAACAATACTCCTTCAGGTTAAGCTTATACTTCGAACTATAGCTGTACTGAATAGTCAATTATTAATACACAGGTTCTAGCTTCTTAAATATCAGGATTTGCTGCTTTTCTCTCTCTTGGGTGATAGCAAACCTAAATATCTTTGGGTTTTAGACCATTGGTCAGTCAAAACAAGCACTTCCAAAATGTCACCTTGAGCTACAGGAACCTGTACAGGCATTGTTTACTATTTTCTTCCTTACTATAAATTTAAAAAATAATTGTCAGATTAACTGACAATGAAAATGAGCTTGAGGTTCGACCCTGCTTTTATCAGTAAAACTGTACGTATAAGGTGTTGTGTAGTCCAGTTAGAGAAAACTTGGGTATCAGTTATGTCTATTAATAATGCAAAAACATTTGTAAATAGCTATTTTAGGCAGCAGCACTCAAACTGGTCGCAATGATCCATCCTCTCCGTGCATGTGCATTTCAGCTGTACAAATAAGGACTGCATATCATCAATAAAGTTTAGACAGCTGTGGTGGTGGGAAATGACTTTTGTATGTCTCAGGGGTGGAAGGCAGTACAGGCTGAGAGTGCTGCAGTCACAATTTATCTCTGCTGCAGAGAGGCTGGTTGATTCTCCATGGACTGTGGCCAAAATCTCTCCCTATTTAGTATATAAGGCACTATACTCAAAAGCTCCATTTGTTATGTAATCAATCATTCATGGCATGCAATGCAATAAAAGAGCATGTGGGTTCAGATGATTCATGTTTAACTGTCTGCACATTTCTTGGTAGACAATCCAGGAAGAGGGTTAAAGGCTCAGTACGCAACATTCAGAGCATTAACGTAGACTGAATCATCGTGACGTCCTGCTAACAAAAGTCACTTCTGGGTACACAACTGACAATTGATGACAATTGTGAACTGAAGAACTGCAGTCACCAAGAGCACACTATGGACTCTCAGCTGTTTTCAACAGAAAACACAAGACTGCACTACTAAAACAAGGAAGAAAGCTAAAGGGAACAGATGTCTTTATTAACGAACACCTATCTAAACACAATGCCGACAGCCAAAAAAGCACGATACATCAAGAAACAAGGTAAAATACGAAGTACCTGGACATCTAACTGATAAGATATTCATCAAATCAAATGGGACACCAGAGGAAGCTAAAGTCATCTGCATCCAAAACATTGTGGAGCTGGACAAATTTCAATGATAATCATGAGCTGGACTGTACTGGACTTGGACGGGATATGACTAGTTGAACTTTGTCCCCCTAATTATGACCATGTCAACTGCCCCAGGCCTTCTGGTTGTGGGGGTGGGCTGGCAGTGTTTTTAGAAATGATTTTAAGTGCTCTCACATTAAGGTTGGTGTATTCAAGAGTTTTGAGGTCCTTGCTTTTAAAGGGGAACTAATGTTTTTTTTCAACCTGGGCCGTGTTTTCCGATCTACTTTTGTCTAAATGAGTGATAAGATGTTCAATATTTGACATTTCTCCTGTATGAAGCTCGGGCTGACCTGCCTGTAGCCTGTGAGCATGCGCTATATTAAATAATAGGGCACTCAGACAGCGTCAAACAACGTCAAAATACGTCCACTAAAAGTGCATTTTTTTTCCACACAGATATGCTCGGATTGTTAGTATAATTATCCGACAACATAACGCAAAGGAAAAATGAACGCCTGTGTTTACCTTTAGCTGGATTTGGACCTGTTCCTCTGCCTGTTGCAATTTTATTACATGTGCTACCGAAGTAATACTGTTCCCTCTCTCTCCTCGTCCGCTCTTCAATTTCAGTGAGTTCTGCGTCCGTCTATGTCCGTGTACTTCGTGTGTACACATACATATATATATGTACATGTACAC